CACAAAGGAATGAACATATTTTGTGAACATTTGCTTCTTATCAGGTTGCTGCTATCACCTACTCGAACATGTGCGATTAAAAGGACATGTACACTAGACATCCATAACTCCTATTTCGGTCGAATCACTCTTCTGAATACCGTACTGTCTCGAAAATTGCTCATCTCTTCTACACCTGCAATGATTTATGGGATTCTGGAGCCAGCATTAAAAGTAGCTGCATCGGGTTGGTCAGCGATTGGTCTGTATTCGTGTTGTACGCAGCCAAACCTGACACGAGACAATGGTTATAATATCACCAATACCACTGTAATCTGAATGCGAATACGTTGGACCACATGCAGACCATCAGTTTAGAAAGCGTCATTTTACATCTTTTTGATTTAAGCTAACGTGCAGCAGGCAATTGAGGGGCTTCGTCCCTCGAATCGAGAACTAGTCAGTCAACAGAAAGTAGCCATTGTTTCGCAATTTACAATGAACGAGGTATCTGGACCATATGCAAACTGCAACAATACAAAAAGCACTCGCAATCACATACTCTTCAAGTTTAGGCCTTCTGACAGTGGACGGATATTCGATGCTTTTATTAGCTTACTTGAGGCACAAATAATGCTTCTGCTGCAGTGTTACTTTCGTGGTGTTCGTAACACCATGAATAACTAGCACTCACAGCGTTCGTGGATGGCGAAGGTACGTCTGACAGAATACGTTGGCGCTATTTGGATTGCACGAGCACTTATTCCACGCATTGCTTAAAGAGAGATTTCCGCGTGTGAGATGTCAGCTGAGAGGAATGAATAACTAAATTCGCTTTCAGTTACGTTGACTGGAATTTTTGGGTGACCGCTTCGTAGAGCAATTCGACCGATGCGGTATATCGGGATTGTTAGTTTGGTCACTTGAACCTAGTGGGAATTTAGGGTAACAGTTCCCACTGTCGACGGGAACCTACATGAGCTAGAGCTGCTGAAGCCAAACATCGCAATGAGGCTGGACCTTACCGTGGTGCGATGGTTTGCGTGCTTCACAGATCCATTGAGCTACGCTGGGTGGTGCATTTTGCACCTTCAGAGTCACTCATACCAGATTGATCAACCGTTAGAGGCATGACAAACTTAGCCCCTTGGTCCTCCAGGTTCGGGGTTCTAATGAGGGTGGCCCCTTATTCCTTAAAACGGACTACTTGTAACCCAACGCCCTGCGGTCAGGTTTTTGAACCAATGGCTTCGGTTGAGAACCCTAATCGTTCCCCTGTCTAGGCCTGGGCAACCTGGCAGTATCCTGCCCACACAATGCAATGAATTGCTCTTCAAACAGCTTCTTGATGCTCTGGCCACCGCAGAGGATAATCAACGGTGCCCTATCTGCTGCATCTAGTAGGGTGGATAGGCGCATACACGCTACCGCTCAAGACTACCCATCTTCTTATTCCCCCTTTTACTCTTTTTCACTCTTACCGTCTCGTTCCAGCTTCACTTTTATCCCCGTTTTTAACCCATCAATACTTGGTCCTCCCCACCTTGCTTTGATAGGCTTTTACCTTTTAGTTTCAACTCACATGTGAACGCGGAGCGTCATTCCTGCCCGGTCGACACGCCCATGTCCAAGCAAGCGGCCCATTCCAGTTCATCGGCTTCCATTTGGAGCCCTCGATCATTCTTCAGATTGGCATACCTCAATGTGCGCACATTGCTACAGATCGGTCAACAGGCAGCATTTGCCCTCTCGATCGATATCTGCTACCTATCGGAGACCCGCTCACTTTTCGATCCCCTTCAGGTGACACCAGCAGCACTTTCTCTTTGCGCCTCTCCGGTGATGATGCAGCTTCGAGCTGGTGTTTGTATTGCCCTGAGTCCGCGGGCTGAAGCTGCTCTGGTTGATTGGATTCCAATCAGTAGCCGGTTGTGTGCAGTCAAATTGGCTGGCTCGTTCAAAGCTTCGAAGTCGCGCGCGACTAACAGGTATCTATTCGTTATCGCTGCCTATGCATCCACAAACTCTAGCAATGATTCGGTGAAGGACGACTTCTATCGCCAGTTGAACGAGATCCTTCGCCACAGAAGATGCTCTGACACTGTTGCGCTGGCTGGGCATCTAAACGACCAAGTTGGAAAATTATCCGCTGATGAACTGCATCTGGGCGGCCAACATGGTGTAGGCTCCCATAATGATAACTGTGAGCGGTTACTTCAATGGTGTGAAGATACCCGCTTATTTCTTGCGAGCACTAATTTCCGACACAGCACCCATCAGAAGATGACTTGGCGCTCACCAGCCTCGAACCAGCTATGGACGCAAATCAATCACATTGCGATAAGTTACCGATGGAGAGGCTGCGTACAGATCTGTCGCCCGAGTTGGAGCACATGTGTGAACACCGACCATGCACTTACATGCGCTGACCTGCGGATGCGCTTTGGCGGACGCCCACGACAACGTTGTGACCGCATTGACACCAGCCAACTGGGGAAGCCAGCTGTGCTGAATGCCTATCAAAGTACGCTGTCATGCGAGTTGAGTAAGCGCTCACTGGATGCAATTGAAGCTCACTGCTGTCATCTTCACCGGACCTTACTAACAGCAGGAAAATCCTCATGTGGTAAGGCTAATAGCCATGGACGTGGGATCTCTTCGAAGTCTCTGGAACTTATCAATGCTCGCCTGCATATTCCGACTGGAAGCGAACACAATGAAACTCGCAAAGAGCTCCGGGCAAAAGTCTGTGCTATCCTAAAGAGAGACCGCGAATCATGGTAGTCTTATCGTGCATCAGAGATGAAAATGGCTGCTGCCCATGGTAACCACCGTAAGTTATTCCGGCTGATACGGGAAACCGGCAGCAGGAGACCTGGTGTTAGTGAAACAATGTGACGAGAGTGGACAGCCTATTCACAACTTGTCAAAACACTTGGAACGTTGAGCTGAGCACTTTGAAAGGCAATTTATTCGGCCGGAATTATTAGGTTTCTCGCCGGCCACAGATTACTCCGCTGCGTGCGCTGTCCTTTTGGGTCAACCCTCTATGTAGATAGTATCCGATCATTATACGCACATAGCTCGGGCAGTGAGCGCTTACGGCAAGCTGTCGCCACCCTTTAATATCTCCAGTGGTGTGAGACAAGGATTCCCGCCGTCACCATCCCTCTTCAACTTCGCTATTGACGAAGTCATGGAGATGGCGTTCACAGGACACGATTTAGAAGGTGTGGATCTGCTCCCAGGAGAACGACTTCTTGACTTAGAGTATGCTGACGATATTGTCCTAATCTTTGACAGCTCACAAACGTGCGAAGCGGCACTGGACAGATTAGCGCTTGTTGTCCGTCAATACGGACTTTGCTTTGCACTCTCGAAGTGCAAAGCGTCCCCCCAAGATTGGGCTGGATCGCCTCCTTCGCTGACCCTTGGTGGGGATCAGCTAGAAGTCGTTCAAAAATTCCACTACCTGGGAAGTTGTAGCAGCGCCCATGGAATTGAAGATGAGATCACGAACCGTATAGCAAAAGCTCGAGGCGCTTTGCTAACCTTCGTTACTTCTGGCGCCGGCACGACATCACTCGTGCCCTGAAGGGTAGAGTGTGCAGTGCAGCGGTACCTTCGATCTTGCTGTACGGTTGTGAAACCTGGGCGACATAAATAGGTTGGTGACGCTCGACCACCGGTGGATTCGCAGTTCGGCTCACATCTGGCGAGAACACTGTAAAAGAACGAGCATGTTCGACGTCTTGTTTACGGCACAGGAAAAGGAGATGAGCCGCTCAGCACCGTTATTTCACGTACCAGGCTGCGATGGCTCAGCCACGTGTTACGCATGTCAGCCCAGCGAGTCCCGCGACGTGCGTTGTTTGCTCGCCGGGAGTGTGCATGGAAGAAGAGGGGAGGTGGCCAAGCGATGAGTTAATCGAGAGGCATGAAGGCCCTCACTTCGAAGATGGCCTCCTTTGGAACGTCTCGGCTCCATGGTTGGGGTACGAAAGACGATGAACATCTTTGGCTAGATACCCTTGCTGATATGGCTAGGATCCGACCTCAGTGGTGTTCGGGCTGTGAGTTTCTTTGTCCCACTCTATCCCTCATAGCCTCCCCCTACCACCACGATCTCGCTATTTAGTTTTTTATAATTTTACATAGTAACTAATATTTTCTGCTGCACAGTAGCCGGCAGGTAGCTTACCGGAACGACGCCCATCCGTTACCGGTAGCTCAGCTGGTTTGCGCCTGTTGCATTTCCCCCTTTTTCTTATAGGTAGTGCGGCACAGTAACTGACGTCTAGCTAACGTATATGATGATGTGGATGACGATGATGATGGTGATGATGATGGTGGTGATGACGATGATGACAGAGTTGCACGTAGATCATGGTTGGCTCATGAAACATCCTCATTGTTCAGTGCAGTAAACTTGCATATGAACCGGAGGTGGAAGATAACGGTACATATATGCAAAGTGCGAGATCACCGATTGCGTAGAGACTGCTTGTCGGAACCATGAGAGGTCGTGCACAGGGTGATGGTCCTGTCAGACACAGACCCTCATGTACTGACCTCGCCGACGAGAGTGTGACTGGAGGGGCAGACCGACAAAGGTGTTGGTTCTGTAAAACACATGTTGGTAATGGGGACGATAGGTGCAGTGCAGTGATTCGGAAGTACGCGAGGGCCCACTGGAAAATCGGAAACAACATCAGTGTCGAATAGGCAAACCACATACATGGTGTGAATCGGACGGACAGTGCAAACACTCAGGACACTCTGGGCGACCGTCGGGTTAAAGATCTAGTCACGCAAGTGTTATGACTGTTGCGCGTCTATATGGCCGTATCAAGATGGTAGCATGGTAACGACAAAAGTGGAAGCAGACACAGTGGCAATAATGCAGACCAGATGCAAGACAGTTTCCTATCTAAACTCCGAATGAACTGGTATACAAGCAAAAGTGCCAACAGCTTATGTATAGCCTACTATTGTATCCAAGCTGGGAGCAAAAAACTCACCAATGAGTTTCCTCAGTAATGGGAGGCAACGAAAGTTGATCACCTAACAAAATCTTCGTGTTTCTCCACAGTATCAGACTCAACATATCAGCTAACAGGGTGGATTGAACTCGAGAATACGTCGGGCTGGGGGGCGGCGCTGGACAGGCGCGTGGTTCCACACTTATTAGCCATGATGGAGCAGTGGCCGCAAGAAACGGCTGGTAGAGCTGACTGTGCCAGTAAGACTGCACTGAGAATGGCTCGAATCGTAGAAATGCAAACAGCCCAAACAAGTCTATAGGGAAGAGGAGGGAAAACGGATGTGGACAGTTGATAAGCTGTAGGCTACGCGAAATCATAGGAATTGCGAAAGCAAAGTTAACACCCCCACCAAGGTTAGATAAATGGGAAATCCCTAAGGTTCAGTAGGTAGAAATAAGGTGGGGAACATTAGTGAAAAAAGGCTGACTAGAAAAACAAACAGGTGGCCAAAATAAGGGAGGGTGCAGGTGCACGATGAATGGACCGCCGTGTGTGGATAAGAACCAGGTTGGAAAGCGACACTACCAAGGGGAATGAACCCACTGTTTAAAATACCTCAAGGTGCTGACAGCTAAGCCGGCCTTACGGGCGTTCATATGTCCACTGAATGTGATATCTGAGTTGAGAGATGACGAAATGTTCGTGACCATACAACAAAGCTCCGTGAGTGCTAATTTGACTTAGTTGGATTCCAGAACACAAACTTTTGGGTAGGAAAACCGCAGCTAACATTTATCAGTTTTGACAACAGCCACCGCCGAAGTCATCACGCAAGTATGTGGAGTGCTCGCCACAGCTACCACGATTGAGATAATATATTGCGGCACATGGAAATTGTATTAGGCGATCGTCTGTAATGAAATCGATAACTTTAAATGGAACAAGTTAGGGTGTCATCTCTGGGGCTCCGTCGAAGGTGTGAATTGAAAAATAAATGCAGACATCATCCTGGACGAAGGTGTACGGTAATTCAACATGCATCTCCGATTAGTGTTAAGTATGAGATTATCCATACATATGCAAAACTTTACCAAGAGTGACTGCTAATCCTACTGACACGAAACCCAGCTTAACCCCTTGAATCCTGAATTAATTTACCTGTAACTTTTTCATTATTTCGTTATATTAGTAATAAACCAAAATAAAGAAATGAAACTTTTGCAAACAATTTTAAGTTTATTTTTAAGATGGTACTTGTAAGCACCGACATGCACATAGGTCACCAACATTGTCACCGTGCAGGTATATTATTGAAAATGACATCCTTGACACAGTTCTTTTTGTCGTTGCAACCCAAAAATATAACAAAAGAACATTTCGCGTGTTGTCTAGATTGGATTTTTTGGATGGAACACATTTCACATCTTTATCCTTCTGCAACAAATGTAGGCCAGTGAGAGCCAAAGTTCTGTGTCCTGATGTCTTTAGGCACATACTCGTTTTCCCTTCGTTTCATTGGTCCGTTTGGTGAAGACATTGTATGGATTGAAGGACGACCTTCTTTTTCACTGGTTTGCTTCCAGTGGCGACAAACCTCATTGCCAAATTTCTTCGAAACTCCAGAAGTGAGATGTCGTGATACATGTCCGTATACAACACATATACATAGACATATGTCATTTGCATCATTGCAAAACCCGTCTGTCCCACCATCTTTTGATTTCCTATTATAACCGTATATTGAGCGCAGCATATCTGCATTGTCCATTCCGACCATGGCTGAATGGTAATCTTGTATTACCTTAGGTGTCACTAGGTCGGCCATTGTTCCACTCCGCTTTTGACGCCTTATAGTAATTGATTCACTTCCGTGGTAATTGGATAACAGATGAACACACTTTCTATATTCCCATTTAAAGAACACACTGCCTTGATCTGTAGAACGATAAGCAAAAGCACCTCTCTTCATCTCGTTGTGCTCTTGAAGCGTAGGTAGATGTTCCTTGTAAAATGTTGTTCGCCATCACATGGTTAAATAGTTACACAGATGTGAAATAATTATCCATTATCACAGCATAACCACCTGCTTTCAGAGTTTGGATGAGTCTGTCCACAACCCCTACCCCCAATCCAAATCCGTCTTTAGAATTCGGAGTGTCCTGTGATTTGACTTGATACACTCCAAACCCATAAATATAACCACTCATATCGGCTCCACACCATATTTTATGACCACGTGTTACTGCCTTCATATCACAACATATGTACAGGGAATACTAAAAATAATGATAATGACTGATAAATACATTAGTTTCTGTAAAAGGATAAATTGTTAAAAGCTCTAAACTTTGCCCAGCAAAGGCTCTAGCTGTTAATAGTACGCTTGAGGCTTTGTAGCACTTTCTGGTACCAACATACGTGTTATATCAATGTAATACGGAAGATGCTTAAAAGTGTAAAACAACTACACATAATCATGACATTTCCATCACAAAAACGAATAAAAAATAATAAGAACGCAAAGCTGCAACAAAACTAACTAAATTCTAACTAACAGAGCAACCACTGACAGTTCGCAGAAACCAACTTTCGACCAGGCACGACATGAATCACTCCACACACTGTATAGCAAAGTATCAGAGTTCTGGCCCTTACCTAATTGTTAACAGAAAGATATCATAGGTATCCTCGCGAGTATCGGCAGAAATAACGCTTGCATTTAAGCAAAGTTACAATTTAAACAAAGTGGTATTTACAAGTACAGCCAGGACACAAAGGGTTAAGCCACAATATCAACGGTAAATACAGTTTCAAAGACGTATGCCGCATATAGTTGATGACTTCGTGTGAATGTCTTTACCATTAATGCTTCTTTCAGCCGGAGTGCCAGTAACACACCAACGATGAACCGATTCGATGTGAGACATCATACGGGCGGCCTTGGATGTGATTCGTTCAACCAGTTGCGCCTCGTCAAGACAAACCTAGTGCGAAAATCAACAGAATGGAGAGAACGAGACAGAAAACATGTTAGCAGGTGTGTGGCCAACAGGGAGTTTAGTTTCCGGTTCGTAACAGAAGACAATGTCCAAGTGACTGGTTGAAAGCTTATTTGCTAAAGAAATACAACAAGCAAGTAGCGTTAGCACGAATTCCCTCTGAATGGACCGTAGTGCCGTAGAGGTAGATTCTGAGTAGAAAAATTCACTGGAGCGCGAAATGACTAGTCCTCATTCGAATTGTAGCCTCTGAAGATTCTGTATCGCCTCTTTAGCAAGCTGTTGCATCAGTTAACGGAACAATGAGACAGTGAAAACCACATAAGGGAGGAGCAGCGGGAAAAGATACACCAGAAGGGGGGAACACCAAGTAAACTACTAAGTCGGTGACAACAACGGCGGAGGTTAGACGGGTATACCCATACCCGGAATTTGCGGTAGCTTGATTTGGAGGACTACTTGTGAAATATAATGAATGGAAAGCCGTAAATCCGGTAACAACAAATTAGTTCGGGCAGTAGGGTACATGTCAGGACGGTCTACCGAAAAAAGAAGTTCGAATTCACCTTCTGACAACCGAATTAGAAGTGCGGCAGCGCTTCATTCGCACGATGAGTAGCACCCATCAGGCATCAGCAAATGACGTTTACAATAAAGGTGTCTAATAAATCAGATGGGAGAGAATACATATGTCAACGCATCAAATCAAATAACGGCGCGTTGGGATGTTAAAGTCAATAGACAAGTGAAGCATCCCGGAGTTTTATCAAAGTAGCATTTCCAAATCATGCAGCAAGTGATCGTGAGAAAGTATCTAACATAACTAGAGAAACGTTGACAGGGGAGATGGCTGGCTAGCCGAACCTCCACGTGGTGCCAGCTGGGTGGTTCGGGTTAGTCACGTTCCAGCGAACAGTTCGGCGGCCGTGTTCCAGGATGTGGTGGGTTTTCGCTTAGCACTCGTTCTCGCTATAAAAGCCACAAAGGTCCGTTTAACAACACTGCGATGTGGTGGATGTGAATCGCCCCTAAATAAAGTCACTGCCTCATCCCCTTCCGGAGTATCCCCACTTCACGCACGTCATCCAGTTCGAAGAGTACCTTTGATCCCTGTATACAATGACGAACAAAGTAAAGAAACTCAGGAATTCAGTCACACTACACAAGTTCACCTATCATGCTCATTAACACACACTTACATATATACATACACACAAATCCAGTATGTTACTGGTTAACTTGCTATATTTTTATACAATTACCGACCATACGTGTTTGTAGCATCATGATCACGCCTTCGTAGGCGTACCCCGCACTGCTGGGAATAAGACTTAGTTATTTATTTAAATGGTAAAATAACCGAAACGCAGTGATCGACAGTGAGATGATCACTGTTGTTCCGATGGCGCGTCTTGCGTGAGTACGCAAAAGACTGCTACTGCTAAAGTGTTCGGTAGAGATGGACCGAAAGAATACTTATGCAGTGTCATAGCGCCGGACATGACGTGTCTAATGAAACCCAGAATGCACCTTATGGCTGTAAGTGTTAGTATTATTAATATTCATCATGCGAAGAGATGACTAATTATAGTGCACTGTGGTAAGAAATCTAAGCGGAAAGCAATCGGGCATCGAAACCAAGACAGAAACGTCTGGATGAACGTGCATTTTTGGCCTACAAATGTATTTATTTTTCATCGAAGAAAAAAAATTAGTCCGCTCACTCTTGACTTTCGTTCCTTATCGGCGGAATTGGAGCACCAAGCGGAAAGCACAGAAGGTTCAGTATGAAAACATCAAACTAAATCAAATTCGACCAACCACTCTATGGGAGTGCGTCATCGGGACCAAAAGGAATGCAGACTACTGTAAAACGAATAGAATGATCCGAAGAATACATGCAACTTACCCTCCACCAACGAACGCAGGTTAGAGGGCTCGGTCGACACAAGTACCTCTGGGTCAGTCGCAGTTGAGGTCTGTCGCCTAGACCGGAGTGGCGCTCAACAGCCACCTCAGCCCAATTCAATTCGCGCTGAACCACAGAGTAGGAAGTCAGCACAATATCCGCACAGGCCAGCTGACCAGGTTGAATGAAGCCGGGTAGCAATGTGTCAACATCGTCCTTGGCTGGCTTCGATCGCATCCGATTGGCCAGTGTTGTAGATACCCGTGACTTTGGAGAGTAGGGGTTAATTGATGAGTTAACTACAGAGCCACGGCAACCGAGCTCCACAGGAGTGACTGCGGTCTCCATCCCCGCATAAATCTGGAGAAAGTATATGATATCAAACAAGTAACAGAGATCTGTGGACTTGTGGATAAACAGAAAAACTTAAAATCGCAGTGTTTATAGCGCGTGGGCCGTGCGCTATATATCTGGTAGGCGGCTAAATGATCAACTGACAGCGCACGGCAGAACACAGGAGAATAAGCTAGAAAAGATTTATTGGACGGTCGGTAAAGTGGCTAAGGCTAAAAATAGGGCACCAGAGGAGAGCCAGCTAGAGAGGATATGGACGTGTGTCGAGTGCGAGGACGACCGCCGGTCGGCAGGTCGCGTCCGATTGATCGCAAAGCGGATGGCCGCGTTGCGTATGACTCAAACAAACGGGAGCAAAATACAAACAAGGAAACTACTTAATTCCCCAATTCATAAGAAAACTATAATTTTAGAATAATATGCACCTTCATAGGGGAATCTCCAGACCATGACAGGTTGATAAGGCGCACAAATACAATAAAAATGACAACAGGGTAAGCTGATTACAGTTTCGCACGGATCACGCGTGATTCCATGATAGGTCGATCTCCTGGACCATAAGAGTTTTGAGTTGAATTGGCCCGAGATAGATTCCAGAAAATATTGCCACACAGGACGTCCTACAGTTGACCGCAAGATCTAACCGAAATAGTCTGCGTGTGCGTGCACATGGCCATCGGCCTGAAGATGGCTTTCCCGTCCCAATGAGACTGGAGCTTAACGTAGTCCGACGGTTTGCGTACTTCTGACTCACTGAATTATACTGGGTAGTGCCCCCGGGCCCCTTGAGAGCTACTCCTACCAGTTTGATCAATGGCTAGAGGCAACACAAACTGCTTCCTGGTCCTCCAAGTTGGGGATTTGAAATGGGATGGCGTCCATTTCTGTAAAACTAAATAATTGCCACCCACCCGATACCTTGCGGACAGGCTTTTGAGTCAAGCGCTTTGATTGATGATCCTAATCGTCCTCCTATCCAGGTCTGGGCGCCCTGGCAGTATCTCAACCCACATACAATCATGACAATTTCACCAAACTCTAACTACATCCTGCATCGGCGGTCGCGCAGATTATCAAAGGTCGCCTTATCTGCTGCATACAGAAGGGAGGAGAAGCGAAAACATGCTACTGCTGGCGCGTCCCTTCTTTCTTTTCCATCTGTTTCTCTTACTCCCATCCCGACCCACATTACTAACCTATCTTCTATACTTCCCAACTTAAAAGACAACAACCGAAGTGCCACTGGAGTAGAAAAATCTGCAACCACCATCCCACAACACCCATCGGATGCCTATCGGCAACCGTCTCATATAAGGCCACGCTGTACCGTTTCCCTGGCGGCGTTCAAACTTCGCACTCCAAGCCAAATAGGTCAACAAGCTACACTCGCACGTACGTTGGACACACTGAGTATTGACGTGTGTTGGGTGTCCGAAACTAAGATCAATAACCCTAATGGGGTTGTTGAGGTAACTGCGCCCGGCTTGTCCTCTCGCTGTTCGTTGCACGCATCCGGAGACGCTGATGCAGTACTCACCGATCAAGCTAAGGTAGGTATAATTCTCAGCTCCACAATTGAGCCATTGTTGGTTGATCGGATTCTGATGAACAGCCGTTTGTGTGCAACCCGTTTGATGACATCAGCTAAGGTTATTCCACGAAGTAGTACAAAATTCTGTTTGTGATTTCCGTTTATGCTCCCACCGATTGCAGTTCTACTACGAACTAAATACGCTACTACTCAGTGTTACCAGATTAAATGAATGTGCAAGTAGGTCACTTGGGCTCTTTAGAAACTCAGCTATTGGTATGTACTTAACTCCGACCGTACGGACAAAGGCGAGCGTCTGTTACAGCTGTGTGCGGAGCACCGGCTGTTTCTTAGACACAGTGGGCGCCGAAGTGCCACTTGGCGTCCTCCTGTAGCTGGCTGGCGATGGACCCAAATTGACCGGATTGTCATAAGTTACAGGTAACGTGGCTCCATTCTGGATTGCTGCTCGTACTGGAATACCTGCGTCGACTCTGATCAGGCCTTAGTACGATGTTGTTTCTCCATGAACTTTCCCGGGAGGCGCACCGATTGGCAACTGAGAAATTGGCTCAGCCCTCAATCGGACAAGGCTATCAAGACGCACTGAGTAAAGAAAGTTTTGCTTTCTTGTTCGAATGACACTGAGCTTCAGTGGGATAGGATCTCGGCACGCCATGCACGACGCAGGAGCATCTGCTTGTGGCACTATCAATCGTCACCGCACCAATCACTGGATATCCGAGAGGTCGGTGAACCTGTTGGAATCCAGAAGAAACCTCCCAGCTGGCTCTGAGCACAATGAGACCAGATGGACTACTAGGCGCGAACTAGGAAGCAAGGTGGACCAGTCGGGCTCAAGAAATGGAGAAGGCAGGAGCAGAACGCAATTACCGTAAGCTCTTCCAGCTGATCCCGTAACCACTTGTCCCAGGAAACCAGGTGTCAGTGAGACAATCAGAGACAGCGTGGGTGCACTGATACACAATAAGGAGCGCCGTATGGCTCGTTGGGCGGACCACATTCAAGAACAGTTCAGCTGGCCCCCTGCTCCCGGACCTCTTCCTACTCAGGTGATGCAGGACGAGCCATGGACGGTTAGTTTAGGATCTCCGTCGGAGGCCGAGGTCCGAAACACGATCACAGTCCTTAAACATTTTCGTGCCGCTGGCCCGCATTCCCTTGCACCGGCACTATTTAAGGTTGGAGTTGAGGTCCTCTGCAAAGCGCTGACCTCCCTGTTCGAACATGCATGGAAGGAAGTGTCCCGGCTAACTGGAGTGAATCGATCATAGTGACAATATACAAAAAGAAAGAAGTCGCATAGGCTGTGCTCAGCACAGGGGGATTAGCCTAACGCCAGTTGTGACAAAAGTACTGGCCACGATTCGCGTTCGTCGACTCACTGCGGAACGGGAATCTCGGATTAGGGAAGAGCAGGCAGGTTTCCACCCAGGACGTTGCTGTATAGACTATATATGCATTTTGCGGCAGGTGCTAGAGCAGCGCCACGCATACCGCAGACCGACAATAGCTATGTTCCTCGATTTCAAGGGTGTGTTCTATTCAGCTGATCGATGCATTCTCTTCGAAGTAGTTGTGCGGAAAAGTCTCCCCACGAAATATGTGAACATCCTACGTGCTCTATACTCGAACACTACAGGCCGCGTCAGGGTCAACGGTGACCTGTCGGCCAGCTTTCCGACCACAAGTGACGTTCGTCAGGGTTGTCCGATTTCCCCGTTTTTGTTCAATTTCATCGTGGACTCTATCATGAAGTGTTTCCTTGCGGAATCTCACGATGCAGGCGTTGAGGTCCTATCTGATGATAGATTAGTTGATCTTGATTATGCAGACGATATTGTCTTGCTTTATGACGATGTTGCGGCGGCCCAATTGACCCTGAATAGACTGTCTAGAGTGGTCCCATTAGTTAGTATGCGCTTCTGACTTTCAAAGTGCAAAGTGTTGCTACAGGACCACCAGCCATTTGATGGACCCTTAACCCTTGAAAACGAGGAACTCGAGCTGGCTGATTGATTCACTTGACTTAGCAGTTGCATCAACAATGATGGGCGCATAGAAACTGACGTGAGCTCACGCATTGTAAAGGCCAGAGCTGTCTTCTTGAACGTGCGGCATCTTTGGTGACAGAAGAGAGTTTCTGTCCGAAAGGCCGTGTTTACAAGGCTACAGTGAGGGCCGTCCTGTTCTACGGTAGTGAGACTTGGCCCCTTCAGTCTGAATACCTGACGCGCCTACAAGTCTTTGATCATCCTTGTCTGCGAAGCATTGCTGGTGTCGGATGGAACCAGCGTGTCCGCAACGATGATGTGCGTAGGCGAGTACTAGGTAGTGATAATCATGCTACCTTCCTAGAACAACACGTAGCACTAAATAAGTTGCATTGGCTTGGGCACATGCTACGTATGCCTGATCACCGCTTACCTAGGAGGACCTTAGTTTAGTCTGCCAGGTGTAGGGTGGCGCAAGCCAGCGACTTATGCCACTGAGCCATGGGCGACGGCAGCGCCCCGCCATGACTGATATCTAATTGCGACATAGCGCCGCTTATCCTCCACTGTCATGCATGTTGTGAAAGTGGAGAGGACACGACTGGCCACCGGAGCAACGACTTCCTTTGCAAGCCGCCACCAATCGAGGTGGCATGTAAGTTGCTAAGGCGACTATTGTTTAGTTATAAATCACGGCGGTGCGCTGCCGTTGTCGTTGGCTCAGTGGCATAAGTCGCTGGCTCGCAATATTAAGGTCTTAAGTTCTAATCCGGCAGGATTCGGTGGGTGCGCGATGCTGACGAGCCCCAATAGGACGAAACGGCTGTCTAGCCCTTTCCTGGACGGGTGGTGGCGGTCTGTCTGAGTCTAACTGCGACGAAACTTCACAAAAAGCAAATAAATCCCCTACTAGTTATAAACGGATCAGTTTTTCAACTGAACTGAAATGAAAATGGATACAAAGCCTAAAGTACATAGTTAATATTTGCCGTTTCAATAAATAAAATTCTCATCCTTTAGGTTTCTAGCAAGGTAATTCACTGTGAATGCTGAGACAGGCTGGCTCCAACAAGTTTTGAGATTTAAACCAAGAGAAGACAGACCACCTAATGGTCGCATGCAGTAAACGACTGAGGCGTTGAATAGTACAGTCCGAGAAAGGAAAAAAACAAAGAACCAGTGTTTAAGATGATGAGTGGAAAAGGTTTCAAAGTACCAAAATTTCCATTGCTCCGGGAACGACATGCGCCTGTAACTCTTCCTTCCACTGCTGCCATATGTGATCAGGAGCCACAATTAATGTTGCCTTTGAATCGATTCGGAGCTAAGAAGAGACAGAAAAGCAAGTAAATAGGAATGCCGAAAACAAAAAGTGACATCTAATGTTTCTCTGATGGGAGGTTGATGGAGGAAGAAAGTCGCGTAACACATGCGGCCCGCAACGCAAATTAGAGAAAATCGATAACAGCAGGAAACGAAAATGATTCCGGTAAATGGCATTCCGATACTTGCCTGGACGAGCACAGTTTGAACGTGCATGGAAAGTAGGCAAAAGTTGGCCACGGTACCGACAGAGGAAGGGGATTAGATTGATGACATTCTCCACGTCAGGTCTATTGAAGGGAAAATTAAAGTGATGGAGCTAAGATTGCCCAGATGTTGCTCAGCCGGCTTACAATGAAGATGAGCAGAAAGATATAGATCTGCTCTCAAGTTATAGGCTTCTAGATTTGGAGTATGTGTGATGGTGGCTGAGATCTGGGGCGAACAGAACCGTTGCGACGGCGATGGATCGGGAGTCATTCAGACGTCACCGACGAGAGATGGGCGCGCACGACAGGTCCGGCCCATCGCAAGGGAGAAGACGTGCCTGCGGACACGAGAGAAGCGGATTGGTCCGCCGAGCGGAGAGCATATGCCATTCGCATGAGTCCTAATCCACTGACTTGCCTTATACGAGTTAATACGAGTTAATAATAATAATAATAATAATAATAATAATAATAATAATAATGTGCCAGGTGTACGCCATAACGACGCTTCGCTGCCGCGCGACCACCACCAGTCGCGCGCGGGCTGAGTATACCGCGAGGAAGCCCACCCCTACGCGGATTCGAACCGAGGACCATATGGTTGCAAACTAAGTGAGCAGACCACTCGGCCACCGGCCGACAGGGTTAATAAGAAAGAGCCACATAGCGTAGTCCAATGAAGCACGGATGCCTGCAGACTATCGCAACCTAAAGAAATCAAATCAGATCACACTGTGCAGAAAAAAACATGCCCGGCGATTCACTTTCGCTTTAGGCCAAGCAGTTACAGAAGGCGAAAAACGATGACCACGCTGTCTTACACTTTAGATGAAGTCTTGCGGTAGATATGGAAGGCAGCGTTGATGTTAAGCGGTAGCTATCTACGTGATAGTCACAGTAGTCTCTATACCCGCGGATGCGGTGAAATGAGCAAACGTAGTCTTTTATGTAGCTTTGCCAAGTAATTGAGTTGGGAGATTGAAGTCGCTATAACCTAAGCAGTCAACTTCGAAGTGCTCAAGATGGACTGAGGAAGTACTGTTCAAAAACACCGGATACTATATGCGAAAATGTGTTTGCAGCATTAATAGGGAATCAAGGCGCAAGAGTTCTGATGAACTACTGTTGCTGGAAGATTAAACCAACATGATACTGTGTCAGTGACCGACTAATCAAGAGAACTGAGAGGATGCGCCACCTGTCGGTTCATGGGATTCGTCAAAAAGCACAAATACCGATGAAGATAAGCCGAAGAATCCAGTGCAATGGCCTAGATACAAGACTTGTCATATAGAGCTCAACTCATGTCGGCATAAAAATCCGCTAAGAGGGATAAACAAGAGAACAAGTTCCAGTCAGAGTGATGGGCGATAAACTGTTCAAGTGATCCTGTTGACAGAACATCAAAGATAATAGGACAAATTCTAGCGATCACTTACTTTACTCCAGCATGGAGGGCAGATATAACCATATTTAACCGGGAGACGAGAAGAGAACTTTTCAGGTTCATACTGGACACAAGCCGCGTGCTGGTACGGCCCATCACAGCGAGTACATTTTACTAAGTCAAATCCACGCGTCGCGTCCACATTGCCACACGAACACAACACGAAGCCATCGGGATCGTCGTCGATCATGGGTGGAGTAGGGGCATCATCCATCTCATCACAAGCAGGTAATGGGTGTCCATCGAGTGTTCTGATCAAGCCCCCATCAGTCGACCATCCGATCCATGGACGGGTAGCAATCAGGGCAATTACTTCCAAAGTTTTACCCAAACCCATCTCATCTGCTAAAATGCCTCCCACACATGGGCTAGTAAAAACCGGTTTTCTGTCCATAAACCTAGTGTGAATGTGAAAAGTATAGGAGTAAACATGAAAACGCGAAAGGGAAAAAAGTGGACAGCCGTGACAAAATGGTAGGAGAGTAAATGCCACTATACTGTATAAACAGGCGAGAAAACGGCTACACGAACGCATCCGACACGCTTGTCGAAAGCGTCGAAACTGTCACACTAAAGCATGAGGCATTGCAGAAGGAGCACGGGAAGTAGGAACAATAACCCAAGTAAAACGTAGTGGGATACAAAGTACCGCATAAGAGAAGATATTTGTGGCATTACTTATGGCGAATATGTGAAGAAGGCAGAGGAAATAGGGACAAAGAGTAGTTAGAACACGTGAGCCATTCCAACAAGTGGTGTACAGCAACACAAATAAACGCGACCGCATTGCATGATGGCAAGTGCAAAGAGCACTCCCTAAACGCATTTCAGGTGCAACATCAAATTCAGAATATTTGGAACGTTCTGAAAAAAGTAAGCTTGATTCTCACTGGCTAAGGGGTATGAAGCACAACGCAATCGTATTCTTTAGTGTGTTGAACTAGAAAAATGCATGTTCCCAACCTTAATATGGGACCAGTAAATTCAGCCAAACAGAACACACGGTCTCAACTGGACTTGTGGTAAAGTAAAGTGGAAGATTGGAAAACAAAACTGGATGTTGTGCAAACCAAACTACACAAATTTTATTTTAAGCAGAAAATCAGCAATGCATTAGCAAGGAATGAGAAGTAAGCCGACTGGCCGATGTTCAGGCAACGATTCAGTCAGACTAATGTAGCAGGCGTTAGTTCAAGACATTCTCAAGTCAAGTCAAGAATGTGCTTTATGCACTCGTGAAAGGCGAACAATTAGTATGAGGGGCGTTCACCTCAATCAAAGGCGGTGACCCAGATTTCACTTCTTCCTATCGACCTTCACATGTTGTGTGAGTAGAAACCTTGCAGCTGCGAGAGTATCGGTACAGTGTAGGCGCTGTTATGGACTCCACGGAACAGTGCTTAGCCTACTGCTGCATGAAACGACCTAACTGAGCGACAAACGAAGAAAAAAATATTTTCGAGGCAGCGACGGTGCGAACGAAGGTCACTGACTCAGGAATATATCGTACAAAGCTTGTGTTGATTGACAGCAAAAGCACACACGAAGCTGCTGAAGTTTCCCGTGACAATGAGAGCATGGCAAGTAGATACCGTTACCCAGCGGAGCTGCGTAGGAAACAGCGGTGAGAAGCTGACGGCCGATGTGCTGCAGCTGATCGAAGGGACTGATGAACGGCATTCGGATGAAACTTTGGTGCATATACAGCAGTGCATGAAAGAAAACGAGATTCATCTTTCCGTATCTACGTTCTTCAACATTCTCAGAAGTGCCATTTGAAGCCCACCTTTGCTAATGACAACCGAGCTCAGAAGTGAGGGCCTTCATTCCTCTCGACCAAGTCATCGCTTGGCAACCTCTCCTCTTCTTCCATCCACACCCCCGGCGCGCAAACAACGCACGTCGCGGGAGTCAGTGTGCTGCCAGGCGTAACACGTGGCCGAGCTACCGGAGCCTAGTACGTGAAATAACGGTGCTGAGCGGTTCATTTCATTTTCCTGTGCTGTAAACAAGGCGTCCAACACGCTCGTTGCTAATTCGGTGTTCCCAGAAGATGCGAGCTAAATTGCGGAAGCACCGGTGCTCGAACGTAACTAGTCTTTTTAGGTCCGCTGATCCAAGGGGCCAAGTTTCACAACCGTACAGCAGGGACGAACGTACCGCTGCATTGCACACTCTACTCTTCAGGGCACGAGTGATGTCGCGCCGGCGCCAGAAGTAACGAAGGTTAGCAAAGCGCCTCGAGCTTTTGCTATACGGTTCGTGATCTCATCTTCAATTCCATGGGCGCTGCTACAACTTCCCAGGTAGTGGAATTTTTGAACGACTTCTAGCTGATCCCCACCAAGGGTCAGCGAAGGAGGCGATCCAATCCAATCTTGGGGGGACGCTTTGAACTTCGAGAGTGCAAAGCAAATTCCGAATTGACGGACAACAAGCGCTAATCTGTCCAGTGCCGCTTCGCACGTTTGTGAGCTGTCAAAGATCAGGAAAATATCGTCAGCATACTCCAAGTCAAGAAGTCGTTCTCCTGGGAGCAGATCCACACCTTCTAAATCGTGTCCTGTGAACGCCATCTCCATGACTTCGTCAATAGCGAAGTTGAAGAGGAAATGTAAGAACAGGCATCCTTGTCTCACACCACTGGATATATTAAAGGGTGACGACAACAAGCAGTAAGCACTTACTCTGCCTGAGCTACGCGCGTATACTGCTCGGATACTATCTATATATTTCTCAGGTACACCTTTCTTGAGTAGACAGTCCCGAAGGGCACACCGATCCACGGAGTCGCATGCACCTTTGATATCGAGGAACACGACAACGGTGGGCTGCCAATATATGTGACGGTGCTCCAACAACTGAAGCAAACTGAAGATGTGGTCAATGCAGCCACGACCTCGACGAAACCCGGCTTGCTCTTCACGAATATGGCTTTCTCGGGTGCCAGTCAGCCTGTGAAGGATGACAGAGGCGAGCAATTTGCAGGCGATGGAGATCAGACCGATTCCTCTATGGCTGCCGCACTCCGTTAGTGAGCCTCCCTTAAATAATGGGACTATGAGGGAGCGGCCCCAGTAGGTTGGGACAGTTTCCTGCCCCCACAATCTCACTAGTAATTCGTGTAAATCATCCACAAGAGCAGGTCCCTCGAATTTGAAGAGGGCTGGAGGAAGATCATCTGGTCCCGCGGCTTTGTTCAACTTCAACAGTCCGATCTCAGGTTCGACTTCTGAGCGAGAGGGTTGATCCAATAGGACAGCCCACGAAGCGGAGTAATCTGTGGCCGACGAGAAATCTAATAATTCCGGCCGAATAAATTGCCTTTCAAAGTGCTCAGCCCAACGCTCAAAGCGTTTTGAAAAGCTGCGGATAGGCTGTCCACTCTCGGCACAAATTGTTTCACTAACACCAGGTCTCCTGCTGCCGGTTTCCCGTATCAGACGGAATAACTTACGATGATTACCAAGGGTAGCAGCCATTTCCATCTCTGATGCACGATGATACTACCAGGATTCGCGGTCTCTCTTTAAGATAACACAGAGTTTTGCCCGGAGCACTTTGCGAGTTTCATTGTGTTCGAGTCCAGCCGGAATATGCCGGCAACCATCGATAAGTTCCAGAGACTGCGAAGAGATCCCACGTCCATGTTGGCGATTAGACTTACCACATGAGGATTTCAATGTTGCTAGTAAGGTCTGGTGAAGATGACAGCAGTGAGCTTCAACTGCATCAAGTGAGCGTTTATCCAACTGGCATGACAGCGTACTTTGATAGGCATACTGAACAGCTGGCTTCGCCAGTCGGCTAGTGTCAATGCGGTCACAACGTCGTCGTGGGCGTCCGCAAAACGCATCCGCAGGTCGGCACATGCAAGTGCATGGTCGGTGTTCACACATGTGCTCCAAATCGGGCGACAGATCTGTACGCAGCCTCTCCATCGGTAACTTATCGCAATGTGATCGATTTGCGTCCATAGCTGGTTCGAGGCTGGTGAGCACCAAGTGATCCTCCGACGGGTGCGGTGTCGGAAAATAGGGCTCGCAAGAAATAAGCGAGCATCTTCCCACCAATGAAGTAACCGCTCACAGTTATCATTATGGGAGCCTACACCATGTTGGCCGCCCAGATGCAGTTCATCAGTGGATAATTTTCCAACTTGATCGTTTAGATCCCCAGCCAGCACAACAGTGTCAGAGCATCTTCTGTGGCGAAGGATCTCGTTCAACTGGCGAAAGAAGTCGTCCTTCACCGAATCATCGCTAGAGTTTGTGGGTGCATAGGCAGCGATAACGAATAGATACCTGTTAGTCGCGCGCGACTTCGAAGCTTTGAACGAGCCAGCCAATAGGACTGCACACAACCGGCTACTGATTGGAATCCAATCAACCAGAGGTGCTTCAGCCCGCGGACTCAGTGAAATTCCAACTCCGGCTTGACCGGTGCACGAAGCTGCATCGTCACCGGAGAGGCGCAATGAGAAAGTGCTGCTGGTGTCACTTGAAGGGGATCGAAAAGTGAGCATGGAGCTCGAGTTTTGCAAGCGAGTCGCCGATAGGCAGCAGATATCGATCGAGAGGGCAAGTGCCGCCTGTTGACCGATTTGAAGCAATGTGCGAACATTGAGGCATGCCAATCTGAAGGAGGATCGAGGGCTCCAAATGGAAGCCGATGAACTGGAATGGGCCGCTTGCTTGGACATGGGCCTGCTGACAGGGCAGGAATGACGCTCCGCGTTCACATGTGAGTTGAAACTAAAAGGTAAAAGCCTATCAAAGCAAGATGGGAAGGACCGAGAATTGATGGGTTAAAAACGGGGATAAAAGTGAAGCTGGAACGAGACAGTAAGAGTGAAAAAGCGTAAAAGGGGGAATAAGAAGATGGATAGGTTTGAGCAGTAGCATCCATACCGCTATCCACCCTACCCGATGCAGCATATGGGGCACAGCTGATTTTCCTCTGCGGTGGCGAAAGCATCAAGAAACTGTTTGAAGAGCAATTCATTGCACTGCGTGGGCAGGATACTGTCAGGTTGCCCAGGCCTAGACAGGAGAACGAGTAGGGTTCTCAACCAAAGCCTTTGGTTCAAAAACCTGACCGCAAGGCAGCGGGTTTGACGTTGGGTTACAAGGAATCCGTTTTAAGGAATAAGGAGCCACCCTCTTTGCAACTCCCAACCTGGAGGGCCAGGAGGCTGCGTTTGTCTGGTCGCTAACCATATATATATATATATTCTGATAAAGTAACCCAAATCCGGTTTGTTTCAATTAGCAAGTGCAGCATAATGGGGCGTAAACTACCAACACAAAAGTTTCGCGGTGAGCGTTCGGACACTGAGTTGCAAAGGTATGCTTCCCATAAAAATACACGAAAACCCAAGAACATACCATTTTTAATG